TGTGACTTGACTATCAAAAGCTTATGGTGAGTGACACAGTATCCATGCTGACTGATTCTGGAAGAAATTGAAGGCTTAACGAACGCCTTTAAAGTTCAGATTGAGCACAGATTGAGCTCGTGCATTCATGCATTGTTCCTGAAGGGTTCTCAGTAGGACAAGTTTCCATGTTCTGTATTTTGGCTGGAGGAAATATGATGTCACCATGCTAAGTGCTGCATACCTGCATACTTGTTTAATTGGGGTGTTTTTTTTTTTTTTTATCTAGCTGCTATGTAGTTTTTGAGTGCTGTTGCAAAGTAATGCTTATCAGGGCAGTTCTCGGAACTAACTAATTACTTTTCTGTTTTGCTGGAAAGCAGTAAAACAAGATTTATAAGGCACCAGATTTCAATCATATTATTTACATAACTAAAGTAGCCAAACAAAGTGTGATTCCTGGAAAGCTGAAGATGCATTAGGTTGATTAGCAAAGTGACAGTAAAGACTTTTACATGTATTTATATTTCAAATAAATGCTGTTCTTTTGTACTTTCTATTCACCGAAGGATTCTGAAAAAAATTAATCAGTTTCCACCAAAATATTTAAGCACAACTGCTTTCAACATTAATAATAAGAAATGTTTCTTGAGCAGCAAATAAGCATCATGTGAATCTTTAGACTGGAGTAATGATGCTGAAAATTCTGCAAATAAAAGTATAGAAGTATATGCAAGAGACTTCTTTTACACCAAACCTTTGAACGGTAATATATGCATTTTTATTGATATTGCCTAAATAGACTTAATGCATATTGTGCTGCACAATGATTTTTTTTTTTTGATCAAATCAGTGCAGTTGAAAATGATCAACATCAGTGGCTATTTACAAGAGTACTACAATGACATACTGGTATTGTGTGTCATTTTCCTTCTCCGAACACTAGACCCAGACGTTTATTTTTTTTGCTGGGCTGCTTTCAAACCTCAGCTGTATTTGAGTAACAGATGGTTTAATTAGAAAGGGCAGATTTCTCAGATGTAAGTTTTGGGTGTCTGTGCAGCCTGTAGTATTTGAACCTATTCCCCACGGTCTCATATGAGAGATCAACGGTCCACAGATGTGGCTTTTCAAGTTATACAAGAGCCCAGTGATTCTGAATGATATTTTATTGACTTATGAAACAGTCATGTCAACAGAGTCCTCTCAGGCTGCAGAGAGGCTCTAGACCCATAAATCAAAGGCGCACAGATGCTGTGTTGTGTTTGTATGTGTGTGTATATGAGAGAGTTAAAGCACTGAGTCACCAGAGTTAGCGTTGAGATCATGTCACCCTTCACTGTTAAATAGAGACGTGTGACACGTTCTTCTTCGAAGTTAGGCCTGCTTTTCCAGGAATGTTTGGGAGTAAGTCACTTGATTTAAGTGCACTGGCCGCCAGGTTCTTACATACCGAGGCATCAGTTCACCAAATGTAGCTACTCATCTCTGGTCCAATTAGGCCAACTCAGAATGACTTATGATATACTGTATCGTCATTCATGTAAAATTAGCCTTCAGCACTTATTCATGCCATCTCAATGAGTGAAGTATTTTGATATGAAAAGTCAGCCAACCCAGAGGCTGTGAAATGAAAGGCATTGGTCAACTCTGCATATTACTCAGGAGACAATCTCTCATTTTATCATTTCTGACTCATTTGTAGAGTTTGACTCTTGGGACAGGAATTCATTGAGTCACTGTGAGTCGTTACAATTCAGACTATAAAGAAAGGCATTCAGTCGAGTACTTTACTTAGTGACACTTTAAACGTTGTCTTTGAATTCAAACTTAGGTTGTAATAAGTCTTGCTGTAATTGAACAGAATGACACTGGAAAATGTGCACATTGTATGCTTTTTTTTAGGTCAGCCTTATGTTTTTACAGAACTCTCATCCATATGCCTGGTACTTTACAAAAATGAACAGTGTTAACCATACTTTTTCTGAAATGTATAGTACATGTAGTATAAACCATACTTTCTTGCTAATGTTTCCACAATTATTAATGGTTTGTATTATCCATCACCATTATTTGGTGGGATTAAAAGATCATTTGCATGCAGTTTAAAGGGATATTTCACCCATAAATGAAAATTATGTCATTAATTACTCACCCTCATGTCATTCCGAACCTGTAAGATTTTCGTTCATCTTCCGAACACAAATGAAGATCTTTTTAATGAAATCTAATAGAGATTTCTGTCCCTTCACTGACAGCTACGCAACTGCCACTTTCAAGCCCCAGAAAGGTAGAAAAAAGACGTAATTAAAATAATCCATGTGACTCCAGTGGTTTAGCCTCAATTTTATGAAGCAGCACGAGTGCTTTGTTTGCACAAAAAAACAAAAACACACAATTTTAAATTGTATTTACAATCTCGAATGCATGTTCACCACGAAGCATGCGTGTTGTGTTGACGCAGGAGCAGACGTTGTTGCTTGAATGCGTATCAAAGATTAAAAGTTTGTAAATAAAGTGGAAAATGATGTTTTTTGCCAAAGCAAAGCACCTTCGTTGCTTCAATTGAGGTTAAATCACTGGAGTCACATGGATTACTTTAATTATGTCTTTTCTACCTTTCTAATGGAGGGACAGAAAACTCTCAGATTTCATTAAAAAGATCTTCATTTGTGTTCAAAAGATCAACGAAAGTCTTACGGGTTTGGAACGACATGAGGGTGAGTAATTAATCAAAGACAGAATTTTAATTTTTGGGTGAACTAACCTTTAATAACTGACCAGAACATCCTACAAAACAAGATTTTGTTAAGTGAACTCAATTGCACAAAAGACGTCATCCTCTGGTTGCAGCTCGTGTCACTTGCTGCTAAACCACCTGGAATGTAAGTGGTACAGCTCTCACGTCTCCACCTCTGCTCAGCATTCCCATGCAAAACTGGACTGCAAAGTGGATGCAGAAAGAGAAGAGCCAGAACCACCACACATAAATGGAAGCAAATACATGGAGTGCCTGAGGTTTCTTAAGTGGCCAGATTTTATGAGTAAATGATTAATTCCTCACATTTGGACACTTTTGCCTTTCCACAGCAACATATTTGCAGGCTAGACAGCTGGTACCAATTTTTGTACCCTAGTCGCTTCAAGGTCCAAGTGCATGTGTGTGTGTCTAGTGGCTCATTGTTGCAGTAATTCACTCCTTTCTCTCACGGCTAAGTTATAAATAGTTCTATTTTCCTCTCGGTATTTTTAGTCACGCTTACATCTCTGGTTCATTGAAGTTTTGTGTGTGTCACAGCTGCTGATTGTTAGTCTCCAGTCTCTTGTGACACCCTGCATCTTCTTACCGATGCCATGTCCTGCTCCAACCGTAGTTTGAGGAACTCCTGCTCTTCACCACTAAGCCATAATCACATGTAACATAACCACACATAATATAATCACATAATCACCTTTTGAGTGTTGAGTTAGGATTCAACTTAATTTTGAGAAGAAAAGTCTGGATTTGATTGAAATTGGCCAAATGAAAACACAAATAAAAATAAACTCAGCCGAATGGTCAATAAATCTTGATTTAACGGTCTCATCTCTGTCTCTTTACCAAAGATGTGTATTTTTGCACATTGGATCAAGTATTTATATAGCTTTGATGTAAGTCCAGGTGACTGAGGAGACGCATGGCTGATCACATAAATTCTGGGTGTTGTACTACCTGTCAAACCAGTGATAAATCACATTTATTTCTATAAACACAGTAACTCTGCTCCAAAACTTTCTCATTTTCGTGACAGAAACTCTTTTCCATCTAAACAATGTTGCATCACACGTATCCTTCATGATAAAAGCAATCCCATAATGCAATGTGATGTGCTCAGTGAAGAGAAATCCAAGATGCCAAATGAGGTGATAGAAATGTAAACTGGTCTATTGTAATTAATTTGTATGAGTTGCTGCCTATGTGAGTGTCCAAGTGACTAATTATGAGGTCAAATGATGGCTAAAATGCTGCCTTAGAAGGGAGCTGTTAGAGTTTCAACAAGAGATTCTCCCACGGTTCTCAACAGACAACTAAACAAAAACAACAGGTTCTGACAAAATGTTAATTTCTGCAGTCTATTTAAAATGTTTAATTAATCTGAATGGGGGGAGAAAAAAACAACAACGTCTGAATGAATGATTCAATGACTGACTCAGTCATAAATATTTAGCTGAATTCGGAACCACATAATAGTATACGCTTTCTATTTTCCACATCTTTCTATGGAAAAAACAGTGATAGTGTGTTAGTATGGGGTACCGAATTTAGCACTTCGCTTGTTTCATTACTGGATTAATCAGCGTTTTTTAACGAATCTCTTAAATAAAGGAATCAATGACAAATCAATTTTTTAACAGTCACTTGTCGTCACCTGGTGTAACAATGTAATTGACACAATCGTTATTTGAAGCACTTTCAAAAGATGATTTACTCTATTATTTGATTGCTTTGAACTTTTATCATAGCACTTTCTGTGATAATATGAATATTTGTAACAAATAAATAGTGATACGCCTACTGTGTGGTTCAAAAGATTGTTTGAGAAGATTGTTTGAGAAGCTGTTTCATTGAACTATCCCTACATGATGATAACTGCTATATCTGCAAATGCAGATTTGAATGTTTCACTGTGATTTTGTCAAAGATTTAATAGACACAGGCTAATCGTTGTTATTTAGAAATGAGATTGCGTGGTTGTTTGAATTGAGATCGCGATCTTGATTAACCGTGCAGCTCTATAGTAGCTGTAGGCAGTAAGACAGCAAGCCGACTCTGTGGTTTGGAACAGCACTAATTGGATTATCTCCATTGAAAAAACGTTTAGAAAAGTAGCTGCTCTTTACAATGAAAGATTTTTTACACTGTATACATAAGTTTTCATATTAATGTAGGCCTAGTTTACATTAATAACAATAACTGCAGAAAATATGATATTTTGGTGGAACCACTTGGTTTAGAAAAGTAAAAAGGACAAGATACTTACCATTCAGGCTGCACATATTGTATTAATATAATTAAGTTAATTTGTTGAAACACTTCTTTGCTCTAGTTTTGCTGTCAACCGCCACTTCTACTGCTCTCCAGAGGCTCGACTACAGGGCAGTGAAAGAGTGTTTAAAAACCTGGGAGTGACAATGGAGAGGAGTAGAAACCAAATCCTTGTGGAATTTGTTTTTTGCTGTCAAAATGTTTTTGCATGAATGGCATTTAAGGATGTTAGGCCAAGTGTAATCCTTTCGTGGTGAGTCTTTTCATTCCATCAGGTTTTTGCATACATAGACAGGCTACATTTTTCACTTTACGTTGAGACCAAAGTTGATATTAATGGCTTACTTTTGCCAACCGCAGGCCTGGCCCAAGGCTCCAGAAATCAGCTTATGTGCAGCAAAGTAGAGGCTTCGATGGCTCACGTTCAGTCACGAGGGAGTAAGTGCCAGAAGATAGTGGCAAAGAGGAGCCCAACTCCGCATACCGTCTGCATATCCAGGCCAAGATGTAAGCGTTTGAATGAGTGGATAAGTGGAGGACAAAGCAGGCATTTTCTGGGTAGCATTCATTATCCGAACTACCCCAAATCAAAGGATCAGAGGTAAGGAGAGCGTGAAACTAAAATGTAGGAATTACTGAGATTATGGAGAATTCGCAGTTAAAATAAAGATGTTTGTAACCAGAGAGCAGAAACTTCGTTCCAGCACTAAACTTATCCAATGACTCAGTTTTATGTGATGTAACTCAAAGCTCATGGGTTGTTGATGTCTGGTAAACCTGGCTGTCACGGAAAAAACAATAATTCATCAGTGGCCGTAAAGGTGCTCGTCGGCATATGGTTGCCAAGAACAGCTTCAAAATACTTAAAAGTTTTTGTTTTTGCAGCATCTCGCCCACATTTAAGCCTCAAATTCTTGTACTGTGTTTCAGCTCACCACATTGGTCTGGTACCAGTGGCCATAGCCCTGTGACCACTAACAACAGCATAACCACAACAACCACTGCTGCTATTTATACTGCTACAACTACTACTTTTGATACTACTCCTTCTACTTCTACTACCATTACTAATACTATTACTAAAGCCTCTATGTTTATTTTCAATAGTGCTAGTTTTCCGTGTCCTGTGTTAGAACTTTAACAACTTCTAGTAATACTCTCCAACCATTGCAACCATTAATACTACTGCCTTCAATGCCTTTGATTACATTCCATGAAACTTTGTTACTGTAAAGGGATAGTTCACCCAAAAATTATAATTCTGTCATCATTTACCTACATTTTGTTCCCATATGAGTTTCTTTCTTCTGGTGAACACAAAAGGAGATATTTTGAAAAATATTGGTAACCTTGGCAGTACCCATTGAATTCCATAGTATTTTGAAGCCAAGGGTTAACGTCAACTGTTTGATTACCAGCATTCTTCATAATATCTTCTTTTGTGTTCAGCAGAAGAAAGAAACTCACACAGGTTTGGAAAACTTGAGATATTATTTTCTATTTTGGGTGAACTATCCCTTTAAATATACTGTCAAAACTACATGCACAATTGAAAAAGATGTGTAGAGATGATAATGTATGAAAATAGCACTGAGAGATAATAACACACCTGCTGCCAAAAACATCTAACACTTAATCTGTTACTGTTATTAAGTTATTATTGCTAACTTTTCAATGTCAAGTATTATGCACATTGGGTCTAATAGTGTTCTCACTGTGCATTCCCATGCCACAACAATCTCCTTATCTCATATTACGCAACCAACACAGCAAGTGCACTGCGCTACAAAGTTTCATTTTCATTCGAAATGTAAAAGAGCTGGGAGCACAGAGGATTCGTTTAATATCTAATGATTCGCCTCAAGTGGAGATTGAGAAACAGTCGCTGGAATCTCAGGAACCCTGCAGAGAGCCCGATCCCGCTGGCTTATGCAGATCAGTGCGAACTCATTAAAATATCTCTCCTAAAATGAACTTTGTCCAGTGCTGAGGAGGAAATCTGAGTCTGACTTTTATGTCAGTCTCCAGTATAGCATTTGAGGTGAGGGCGAGAGGAATGGGGTTACCTGAGGTAGTGCCAGATGAGGAAATGGATCCCTTACTTTCACGTTGGTAAAAATTTCACAAAAGTCTGGAATTAAATATTTGTTCATTTATAGGCACAGATTATACTACTACTAAATATTAATTCCAAATGTTTTTTATGTTAGATATAATAAGTGTCAGATTAATAATTATGGAGGGAGTATGTATTTGGTGTGCTTTCATTCATTTGATCCAGAGTTAAAATCAGCCATTTTACATTTCCTTTTTACATTTACACTCAGTCAACATTGTACCCTCACTGTATGAACACAAAACCACTGCACTGCAAAAGAATATTTTCTTATTCAGTATTTTTGTCTTGATTTCCAATACTAAATATTCTTAAAACCAAGATACATTTAAAGGAGCTGTATGTAAGAAATTTATTTCAATTAATCATAAAATGGCCCTGAAATGTCACTAGACATTAAGAAATCATGTACATTTCAAATACTTATATCACTGACAACAGTAGTCTGGCCAGGATATTGTCATTTAAAAAGTGCAGTTGCAGCCCTCAACTGATGTTGATGTTGTCATGTTGTGTTTTGGTCTGATGCTCCACCCTCCACCTATCTACCAATCACGAAGTCAGTAGTGTTGCGGCATCCGGGTTGCCAGCTCTGCTCTAGTTACCACAGCTGCAGCTCGTCAAGTTCCTGCTGGATCCTGCAGCCGATCTGGCAACCTCGAGTCAGGGAGGAGGGGGAGGGGATACACCACTCTACAATAATTTGAAAGTGATTGCAGTACTAGTTTTGGCCACAATCTTACATACAGCTCCTTTAAGTATATTTTCCTGACCCATTTCCTTTTGTTTTAAGAATAAACTCACTTAATTTTGATCCATTTTTCAAGAAAACAAAACTTAATATCTTAAGCTTCTCAAGTTAACATATCTAGATTTGAGGAAATTTAAATATCTGAACTGGAAAACAAGACAAAAAATAGAATTGAGAAAATCCCTATTTGAAGTGGGAGACATTCTTCAAAATATCTTATAACTGTATAACAACCATACAAGTTTGGACGACATGAGGGTGAGTAAATGATGACAGAATTTCAACTTTTGGGTCCCTAAATGCTGTTCATTTTATCATGTACCTCCCACAGATGGCCTGTGTACGGTAATCTACAGCGCTGTTCTGTTTCTGGGCTGGTCCGGAGAGAACGTGATGGTTTGGACTGGGAAGGTCGTTGGTCTGTTAGGGGGGTGCGGAGACCCTGCAGAAGTGGGGATGGTGGTTGCAAATGATCTATAAACATGGAAGAACAAATGAAGTACAGTGTAAAGCTAATTTGGGCCTCTAAATCATTACCCCACTGTGTGACAACCCTGGCAGATGCTTGCCAGCACTCTTCAAAAAAGTGGGTGTTCTGTTAACCCACGAGCATTCAATGCATCTGGCCAAACACAACACTGGCGGCGTGCCCACCCCGTTTGCTGTGCTGACACACATCCAGAGCAGCCTTGGCGATCGCAAAGGAACTTGGCCCTGTGGGTACACTGGGAAAGGTTGCAGGTACTTCAAACCCACGGGCGCTGTAAACCAATCACACAGATGATATTATACGCAACCGTTTGCTGAAATTTAGCAGGAACCTGGAGAGTAAGACATCTTGTGACGTATTTGTAAAATCGATTTCTCAAGATTGAAAAAAGGACAGAAATAGTTTGTGTTTGTGACCTTTTGACAATACATGTCTGACTTAAAGAGATAGTTGTCCCAAAAATGAATAATCTGTCATCATATGATGTTGTTCCGAATATGTTTTCTTCTGCAGAACACAAAATATGTTTGCAGCTGTTCTTGTCCTTACATTGAAAGTCAATGCAGTCCAAATGTTTCAAGCTCCATAAAGGAGCATAAAAAGTAACATAAAATAAATCCACAAAACTCTGTGGTTTATCAAGTATTCTTAAGGGATACTTTGAATGATGAATTCAAGGGTGATTATTCAACCCATGTATAAAGAGCCAAAATCCAATAAGGTGACATGAAAAAACATCATAACATTAAGCCAAATGACTTGCAAGAAATTATGACAGTATTCTCATTTTTGTGTGAACTATTCCTATAATACAAGGTCAGACCTGACCTACTTTGTAGATCTTTTAAATTTGAGGTTATTTACTAAGTGTAGTAGATGCTATTTGAGCTGCATGTAATAAATTGAAACCTTATCAACAAATCTGTGACTTGTGACTTATGATGTATGTGTATGATATTGGTTTTAGAAGCTAATGTCAGTGTTGACACTAAATGAAGCAGACTACAAGTATGCCACTGAACTAGTGCCAATGTCGTGACAGCCTTAGAAAAATGCCTCAAATATCATGTTTATTTTGCATGCAATTAGGCTGGGGCCTGTTTTCTTCAGTCTCTTGTGGTTGATATTTTTATCAGCCAGCTAGTATTATATTTAATGCAAAGTGCCAACACAATGTTTTACTAGTGTGTGTGCATTTATACTGTATGCATTTCCAAAGCACACCTTTCTCCCAGTGTCCTTTGCCACACTTGGACTAAGGAAACTTTCTTGAGAGAAGTCACTACTAGTCCCATTGCGCACAGTACGTTGACCAGCAGCTCTGCCAGGGTGACTACCATTGGTGTCGTGTGTCAGCATTGCTGTCTCTTATAGCTCTGTGTTGTTTGGGATGTTCCAGGGAAATGTATAGAGGGGATTTCAGCATGTGACCTGAGATAATTTGATGAAGAAAATAAAGCACTTGCATCGTATTGCTTGGAAGTGATTGAATTCTGATGGCATGGGCCAGTTCATTTTAGGGATAATTCATCAGTGGTTGATTTATTAAGGACATCATTAAATTTGGAACATTTTATTGAAGCAGGAATGAATTGTGGAGGCCAAATTCAATGCATATATCTCTGAACTGGCTGAGGGTTTTAGACTCATGTTAGGCAGTAACTTGAGAAGAACATGAAAACAGACTTGGCAGAAGCTTCACAAATACCACATCAGGACTTTGAAAACCATAATTGTGGGTTACATTTTTCAGCATTGTTTATTTCAGAGTCTGGGGTTACAATCAAGGGAATTTGCCTTGCAATTTGTATGTTAAAAATAATAAAACAGTTTACATAAAATACCTGCATTTTGTGTAATGATTTAGACCAGCAAATTGAAATTACAATGTTTTGACATTACAGAGTTC